AGAGCAAACCAAACCCAGAGCCCAAAGACGCGAGGAAATCATAAAGATTAGAGCAGAAATTAATTCAATTGAGATGAAGAAAACAATTCAAAGAATTAAAAAAGTAAAATTCTGGTTCTTTGAAAGATTAAATAAAATTGATAAGTCCCTAGCTAACCTCATCAAAAAGAGAAAAGAAAAAATTCAAAAAGAAGCAATAAGGAATGAAAAAGGTGTATTTACCGCAGACTCGGTGGAAATTCAAAAGATTATCAATAGCTACTTTGAGAATCTTTACTCTCACAGAATAGAAGACACAGAAGAAATGGACAGAGTCCTAGAAAGGTAGAAATTACCACAACTGAATCGCCAAGATTTAACCCCTCTCAATAGTCCAATGACAGCCAATGAAATAAGAGATGTAATCAAAAGTCTACCAGCAAAGAAAAGTCCATGTCCGGATGGATTTACAGCTGAATGTTACAAGACATTTACAGAAGATATAGTCCCTATACTCCTCAAAATCTTCCATGAAATTGCAAAGAAGCAATCCTCCCAAAATCATTCCTGGAGGCAAGTATTGTACCATTACCAAAATCAAGGAAAGGCATAACTAAGATAGAGAACTACAGGCCAACCTCCGTAATGAACATAGATGCCAAAATCCTCAATAAAATACTAGCAAGTAGAATACAGCAAATCAGCAAGAAGATCATACACCATGACCAGGTAGGATTCATCCCAGGGATGCAAGGATGGTTCAATATTCAAAAATCTATAAATGTAATACACTATATCAATAGAGTGAAAACTAAAAACCACATGATCATCTCTATTGATGCAGAAAAGGCTTTTGACAAAGTCCAACACTCATTCATGTTCAAAGTCCTACAGAAAATTGAAATAGATGGCCTCTACTTCAATCTGGTAAAACCCATTTATGAAAACACAACAGCTAGCTTATTCCTAAATGGGTAAAAAACTGAAATCTTTTACTATTAGATCTGTTACAAGACAAGAATATCCTCTATCACCATTCATATTCAATATAGTTCTAGAATCATTAGCTAAAGCCATTAGACAGGAGAAGGAAATAAAAGGAATAACAATAGCCAAAGAAGAAGTTAAATTATCTTTACTTGCAGATGACAAAATACTTTACTTGGAAGACCACAAAAACTGCACCAAGAAGCTACTAGAATTAATACAGAAGTTCAGTAGCATAGCAGGTTATAAAGTCAATACCTAAAAGTCAATAGCATTCCTCTACACAGACAACAAACACAGTGAGAGAGAAATTATAGAAACAATAACTTTTATAATACCACCAAGGTAAAATTAAATACCTTGAATTAATCTAACTAAAGAAGTCAAAGATTTTTTCAAGGAAAATTACAGTACCCTTAAAAAAGCGGTTGTAGAGGATTTTAGAAAATATAAAGATATTCCATGCTCCTGGATAGGAAGAACCAACATTGTGAAGATGGCCGTAGTCCCAAAGTTGCTGTACAGATTTAATGCAATCCCTATCAGACTACCACCGACGTATCTCACAGACCTAGAGAAATCCTTCCTAAAATTTATCTGGAACCAGAAAAGACCTAGAATAGCAAGGCAATTCTGGGAAATAAAGACAAGGCAGGAGGCATGGTTTGAAATTATACTGCAAGGCTACTGTAATAAAATCAGCATGGTACTGACAACAAAATAGACCTGAGGATCATTGGAATGGATTGGAAGACGCAGAAGCCCTACGAACACACTTAGCCAATTTATCTTTGACAAAAGGGCCAAACACACTCACTGAAGAAAGATAGCCTCTTTAACAAATGGTGCTGGAAAAACTGACTCTCTACAGGCTGAAAATTCAAACTTTACCCCGGTCTATCACCATGCACTAAATTAAAGTCAAAATATATTAAAGATCTAAACATTAAAGCAGAAACACTAAATTTCCTGGAAGAGAAAGTGGGATGAACTCTTGAAGACATAGGGGTAGACTAGGAGTTCATGGACTGAAATCAAATCGCACTGGAAACAGTTGAAAGAAGTAACACCTGGGGACTTGCTCTTACTAAGAAGTTTTTTCTCATCAAAAGAAATTACCAACAAAGTGAAAAGTCATTTGACAAATTTGGAAAAAATCATGACAAATAAGTACGCCAACAAAGGTCTGCTCTCTAGAATTTATAAAGAACAAAAAAACACTAGGGCCTTAAAATTTAAAGACCCAATCCAGTAATGGGCATCTGAGATGAGCATACATTTCTCAGAGGAAGAAATTAAGGAATCGAATAAATATATGAAAAAATACTCCACATCACTAGCCTTCAGCGAAATGCAAATTAAAAACGACATTGAGATATCATCTCAACTCAGAAAGAATGGTATCATAAAGAAATCACCCAACAACAAATGTTGGAGAGGCTGTGGGCAAAAAGTAACCCTTCTCCACTGCTGGTGGGAATGTAGACTGGTGCAACCATTATGGAAATCAGTGTACAGACTCCTTAGAAATGTTGGATTGGAAATTCCATTTAAACCAGCTATTCCTCCACTGGGAATTTTCACAAAGGATCTGTAAACATCATATCATGTGATATAAGTGTGCCTATGTTTATAGCAGCAGAATTTGTGATAGCCAAATCTTGGAAACAACCAAGATGCCCATCACCTGAGGAATGGTTGAAAAAGTTCTGGTATTTTTACACAATGGAGTATTATTCAGCTATTAAGAATGATAAGCTCGAAGCCTTTATATTGAAGTGGATGCCACTTGAACATATACTCATAAGTGAAATAAACCAGACAAAAATGTATAAATATATATAGTCATCTTTGTATAAGAACTCAAAAGAAGAAATACAAATAGAAAGATATAATACAAGTAAAAGGAAACCAGGATCTCAAAGACTAACTAATCATGAGGGGGAAAAGAGAAGAGTTAAGAAACATGAATAAGTCAAGCCATACATTTATATGTAGAAGATGGGCAAGAGAATGATCCTGAGAATCATCAGAAGATTTTTTAATCTAGCAGTTAATTGGAAAGATTCTCACCCTGACTAACTATACTGATACCTGTGAATAAGCAACTGCACTGCAGATGGTAATTTGTAATAGGGGTTTCATGCTTGGAGTGCCTATCATTCTGGTCTTCTGAATATGGGCTGGTTGTCATGACAGCCAGTTGCTGCTATGATATCTCTCAGGTAGATGGTTGTTCAAGAAGAAGGGGGTGGTGAATGAAAGCAAGAGAGAGGAAAAGGAGTATTGTGGGACTGTCCTGCTTCAAGGTTGTATATGGTGAGATTTTTGGACTTATGTGTAAACATAAGAAGTATATAATTCTTTATGCCTATTTTTAAAATATATTCTAATTTTTAAATGTTTTTATCATATTCTGTAGTTACTTAAATTTCA